CGTACTGAAAAAAGACATCGGAATCGAAACGAAACGGATAACCCAAGCGCCTCGCGCAACAAGTGAACGGGAACCGGTCTGTATGTGGGATCCGAACCCTCGGGCGGGAGCACCACCACGCTTCCCAAGCGGCGCACTTATCCAGTGCGCCACCAGGCCGGCCCACAGTCCTTGTTTTTTACCTCATTTGTTCTTGGAAAGTACACCACATTCATTTATTTATTTATTTTGACTGGTAAGGAGGATCCCAACCCTTGGCAAGGTGTGGTCTGCACCATGCTCAGCCAGTGAGCGCACCGGCCATACCTATATAGGATCTGAACCCACGACCTCGGTGCTCCCAGCGCTGCACTCTCCTGAGTGAGCCACGGGGCTGGCCCTAAACTAATTTATTTTTAATTTTCCATTCTTTACTTATTTTAAAGAGCTCTGGGATGAATATCCTTGTAGCAGTATTTTTGTGCAGAATGTAGGTATAGTGGCAAAGAACACAACTCTGGAGTCAGACTGCCTGGGTTCAAATCCTGGTTTTGCTACTTACTTACTAGTTATGTGACCTTGCATAGTTACTTAATCTCTTTGTTTCAGTTTCCTTATCTCAGAAATGGAGATGATAATAGAATCTACCTCATAGGGTTGTTGTGAGGATTAAATTACTTAATATATGAACATGATGAGAACAGTGCCAGGTACATAGTAAGTGCTCAATAAATGCTAGCTATTATTATTATATTATCAGTATAAAATTCTTAGACGTGAAGTTAATTAGGATATTTGTGATCAGTATATCTTCAGGAATGTTATTATGGATTATTTTGTTTTAAGACAAAAACTCTACTGTTAATTATTGAAAATGTACAATGAGATTTTATATTTTTAGAGTTTCTTTCATAAAGACATAATCATTGTAAGAAAATGGTTCTGTATGCCTTGTGGTTGCAATTAGTATTGTATTCTTTATCCCAAACAAAGCAGTTCAAATAACAGCAAGTATACAGGTGAACAGAGTTGTTGCTCTTCTTTATTGAGGAAAAAACTTAGATTTGTCCTAATTTATATAGTAGAAAACTTAAATTTGTCCAAAGTTTTATAGTAGCATTTAAAAAGAGAATCTTCTGTTTTAACATGTTGAAGCATCTGAAATTGCCCATATTCAACCATTTTAACCTACAAAAGTGGCAGTTTTGGATGCTTCACACTATTATTTAGTCACTTTCCTCGTCTCTTTTTTGTTTTGTTTTACTTATTCCTTTTTCTACATGGCCATGGACCTTTCTCTCCTTAAATGTAGTATTCTTTCCCAGCACTTATAAATTGGTGAGCCTGCTACTAGTTTTAGGCTTGATGCTTGGAACTGACAGAGGAGGCAAGTTACATGTGTCAGACCCTGTGACGCTCCCCCTAGTGGGGCTGGTCTTGTGTAGGAACCCCCACAGTTGCCATCTCACTAACATTAATCCCCAATGTCTTGGCAATTGAGTGTGTTGAAGGAATGACCTTCAAAAAATTTATGGTGGTTTTTCATACCTTGAATTGTGATTTAATTTACTTTGAATGACTTATTTTATCATTTCATGATTGAACATTCTGATGAGTCAATAATTCACAAGCTTGCTGTTCTATTTTCAAATATTATTTATTTCCAGATGTTACTTATTCCCTAAGATGTATTTTTAAATTGCAACAACAGTATGGGAAAATGCATACCTTACCTGGATCTACCTCATTAAGAAATATTACCAGAATTATTGAGAATAGTATTGCTGTTTTTGAGAATGAAATGTCTTAACTGTAAAAAAAAAAAAAAGGGCATTTGATTTTTCAGGGCATAAAGCAAAAGTGTAGACATTTTCATGTTCATATACACTAACCCTAATTAAGATCAATTTTAAGAATACTGAGAAGATTCTTAAAAATCTTGTTTTGAAAATCACTTTCTACAAATCAAGAACTGTTGCTTTGGTTTAGTGGAGTTCAGGGAATAACTTTATTAATGTCTACAAATTTATTTTAATGGGCCTTGAAATCATGGCCATTAATTCCATTTTTTAAAAAAATAAATGTCTCGGGCCGACCTGGTGGCGCACTGCTACAGTGCGCCGCTTGAGAGCGCGGCAGCGCTCCCGCCGAGGGTTCGGATCCCACATACAGACCGGTTCCCGCTCATTGGCTGAGCGAGGTGCGGGCGCAGCACCGAGGGTTGCGATCCCGTTGCCGGTCCCGGTCCAGTACGGGCGCGACACTGAGGGTTGCGATCCGTTGCCGGACACGAAAAAAGACAAAAAGGAAAAAAAATAAATAAATAAATAAAAATAAAAAAAATAAATAAATGTCTCTAAGCTTTGGGTGATGTTAGAAAACAAATAAAAATTTATTATCACTTCTTTGTGAGAGCTAAATAATCATCCAAGTAAGACTATTCTAATTATAAATGCGAGCAGTGGCAACTCTGGTAGTTTTTAATAGAAGATTAAATAAATAAATGTCTCTAAGCTTTGGGTGATGTTAGAAAACAAATAAAAATTTATTATCACCTCTTTGTGAGAGCTAAATAATCATCCAAGTAAGACTATTCTAATTATAAATGCGAGCAGTGGCAACTCTGGTAGTTTTTAATAGAAGATTATTGAATGTTCAGGTTAATAATTGGGGTTTCTCAGCAGGATAAGGTTTTTATAATAGGACTTTTTTAGCAATTAAAGTAGAGTGAAGTTTTTTGTTTGGCCTTTTTCTTTCTTTTACTTGTAGCCAGATTTTTTAAAAATCATTGACTCAAATCCTTAAATGCCAGCTTGAACTGATATCTTGTGTGCTTTTTTACTCGCCTCATTCTTGTCCTTTCTAACAGTGTTTTGTGACTAATTCTTTGTGAGGGAATGTCTGGGCAAAGCTTTTGGGCCTTGAGTGAAAATAACTAGACTAAATGCATGAGTCACAGCTGACCTAAAAATAATCCCCAGGAAATGATCTGTTCCCAGTTTTCTCCTCTATAAACTAGTCACTACTGTTTCTTTAAAAACTGAGAGAAAATACAAAGATAAATATACTTTTAGTCACTATCAGAAAATTCATAAGAAAAATGAACCCTGGAATTTTATCTTCGTAGAGATCTTTCCACTTTGTATTTGACTTTGATGTTGTCTTTTGAACCTTAAATTTGCTTGAAGTTCAAATGAGATACAGGTAATATTTTAAAAATTTAAACCTGTATACTTTACTACCCAGCTAATATTCTTTGCTTACTTTCCTCTGCTTTTTTCATACCTTTTTATTCTCCAGAACTGCCTAAAGTTACAGAAGGTGCGTAACACCTTTTCTTATTCTATTCCATATGTTTTTATTACTTGCCATTGTTATGTACTGCTAACTGCATATTTTATGAAATTGTATACAGGAACAAGTTTATTATTACAAAATCCATTTAGTAATAAAATTAATGATAGTATTTATTATTGGCTTCCAAAGTATTGTTTCATGGGAGAGAAAATATTTCTGAAGCAGTTATTATGATCATTTAAAATATTTGTTTACTTTAAGTGTCTACTTGTATGAGGAGCTGTGCAGAATGATTTGGGCATTCCCTGCCCCCTAGTGGCTCATAAGCAGTCACACATGACAGTTTAACATTTCTGCATGTACTAAAACGGATTCATTCAAAGGACAGGGAGCTGAGTAAAACATCTCTATAGAACTTATATTTATATATTGTAATCTTTTATTGCCTGTCCCAAAAGTTTTAGTCCTCTCCTTTTTTTTCTGGGCTGTGATCTAAATCTGCCTAATTTATTATCCTTCATAAGAGTAAATCCGTTGTGACTTTGAATTCTATTTTTGTTCTGGGACAAATGAACATATTTCAAGTCATGCTTAATGTAAATATTCATTTTCATATAAAATAATGAATATTAAGAGCATCCTGAGTTTTTTATTTAAGTCATGTCCCATTAAGTCTATGGAAATCAGTAACTTTAATTTAGTGTGGTAAAATAACCTTTTAGGGGTTAAAAATGGTTTCTTTTATTATGCCTCTCCTAACCTCAAGCTTTATGTAAAGTGTACACATGCCAAGTGCATTCTCTCAAAAAAAAACAAAAAAAGAACTGAAGCATTTATCCAGAAAGCCCTTCAGATTTGGCCTCTTGGTCTTGTTATGAATCATGGAGACCTATAAATTTTTGTGATTTCAAACAGCCATGATGTTGTTGCTCTTAGTGAGAAAACTTCTGTAGCTCATCTTTAGAAATTTTATTGATGCATGTAGCATTTTTTTAAAACAAAGAAATGGAAAATTCAGTTAATATTTTCAGTGTCCAAAATAAATTGTGGATTATAGATGCATTTTTCATTTCAATTAAAAGTTATTTGAAAAAATATGCATATAACAAAGATGAAAGAACAATAATAACAAAAGAAAAGTGTTACCTGGGGGAAAAAAGGAAAGCAAATTTTTTTCATGTGTACTGAATTTGTTATCACTGTTTTGTCAGAGCAACAGCTACGTCAGGTATGGAAAAAAGGTTCAGTTTGTTTCCGTGTGTTTTTGTGCTTTTTTTTGTATTTTAATTTAATTGTGTTTTGGTAAGTTGTGACTAAAGCCTGTTTAGCACTTATAAGTCAGCGAATTAGACTGCATGCTTTTTTATTCGTTTTTTAATAGGACTTTATTTCATTAACATGTAATATTTTATAAAAATGAAGGGTTTTTCCCCATATATTTTGAATCATTTTTCCAATTTTTCAGCCACTAAATGTGACCTGTGCTTGTAACTGATCTTACCTAGCTATTAGTACCATATTATAGTCCTTCCCACTTTTTGACTATTTTATTTTGATTTTTTTTACCCTCTTTAAGAATCTGTTCCAAGTGGAGAAAATCAGAGTGTGACAGGAGGTGATGAAGAAGCGGTAGATGAATACCAAGAGTTAAATGCAAGAGAAGAGCAGGATATTGAAATAATGATGGAAGGCTGTGAATATGCAATCTCTAATGCTGAGGCCTTTGCAGAAAAGTTGTCCAGAGAACTACAGGTGCTAGATGGGGTAAGTTTTTCTTATAATCTATGAATAAGTGATGTGTAGTGGATTGAGAACACTGGTGATGTTCATATTTTTACTGCCTCAGCACTTAAGCCTTTAGAGTGTGATTATTGCTGTCTTTACAAGCACATTACCCTCCATCATCAATCTTTCACTGTTCTCATTCAAAAGATAGAACCATTCCTATTAAGCTATGAAGGCAGTTGGCTGAGGCTCTGGATTTGGGGAGGTTCTTGATATGAAGTGATGGAAGTAAAAAGTAGGCAATCAGAAACCATCTTAGGAGTTTATTTCCCTGGCCTCTAAAACACCTCAGTATAGTTCATTGCCAAAGAACAGCATTTTTGTGGTTTGAAAAAGAATAGATACAAATTAAAAAGAGAGAAATGAATCATTTACTAATGAGCAGAAAAAGTGTGGTGAAAACAGGAGAGCCAGGAAAAAAAGATCTTTGACTTCTCCACTAAAATATATTAGAATAGAGCTTTTTAGGGCCGAGCCCATGGCGCACTCGGGAGAGTGCGGCGCTGGGAGCAAAGCGATGCTCCTGCCGCACGTTCGGATCCTATATAGGGATGGCCGGTGCACTCACTGGCTGAGCGCGGTGTGGGCGACACCGCACCAAGGGTTGCGATCCCCTTACCGGTCACGAAAAAGACAAAAAAAAAAAAAAAGAATAGAGCTTTTTAATTGTATGCACATTTTTTTAGTCTGTAATCTAAATGCACAGCACCATTTATTTGAGAATAGTCTAAAACAAATCATTTAGGGTTTTTTTGTTTGTTTTTAAGAAAAGGTAAGCATTTAAGAAATACCTAGAAGAATAAAGAATATTTTAAAGACTTGAAATTTTGGTGTTTTGTACATGAAGGGTATAGAAGTCATGGGGTCTAACCCAGGCCCAGGGATATTGCATTTGTAGTCCAAGCTTACAAGTTTACCAAACTCACTGGAAGCAAAGCCTAGAAGAGTTTTCAATATGTTAAAATAGAAATTATCCTGGGTGGGTTCAAACCCAAGCTCTGTTACTTAGGAGATGTCAGTAGGTTCTGAGCACTGCTGAGCCTTATAGTTGGGTTGCACTTACAGTTGAATTATTGGGACTACTATAGAAAAAAATGTGTGTGAAATCACAGCATCAACTGTACGGTGATATTCTTTTAATTCCTTGTCTAAGTTTTCCATCATACCGTGTTTCTTGCCTTCTTAATGTGGCTTAGTGGTTTATGTTTTCTTTTCTAATTAATATTGCATATATGTTCCAAGTCATTATATTGCTCTGTAGTTTAATTTGGATTTAGCAGTTTCCTTATTTCAGGGAATTCAGAATCAATAGTCAGAATCACTTAGCAAACAGTGATAAGGCAATGATGGTTTGTTACTGCTTTCCCTAGAAAAAAAAGTTACAAATTGAAAGAGGAGAGAAAAAAGATGATAAAGGAGTTCTTTTGGTCATATGCTCTTCTGCATCCTGATAGTGCTAATCATACTACAGTTATAAATTAGTTCCATGTATCCTTGAAAGACTGGTATACTGCTGCTACGGTCTACACTCAAATATTACATAGGTGATTATGCTTTAATTTAGGGTTTCACATATACGTGTACTTCAGAAAGTTCATTGAAAATAGGATTAAAGGTAATATGAATCCTTCCATGAACTTTTTGATGTACCCTAGAAGATGTTAAGACATATAGAAAATTTCTGTAGCTGGTAGAATTGGAAGAAATGTTAGAGATGACATGGCCTAGTGCCTCTAAATTTACAGAAATGAGAATGTGCCATTACTATTGATACACCTGGAGCAGAAGCCTACTTGTACAGTCTAGACATATAGAAAATTTCTGTAGCTGGTAGAATTGGAAGAAATGTTAGAGATGACATGGCCTCGTGCCTCTAAATTTACAGAAATGAGAATGTGCCATTACTATTGATACACCTGGAGCAGAAGCCTACTTGTACAGTCTGCGGAAATATAAAATATTGAAACTTGGCCCCTAACTTTGATATAGAAGCAAGTATACCTTCATGAAATACTGTGTAAAAAGTAGAACATAAACATAAAGTAATAAACTAAAGTATGTAGATGTGTAGTTGTATATCAATTTTTGTTCCTCTACTTTCAAAGAGATTTAGCAACATTTCATCCTTATGCTTTTACACATTTAAATAACATGAAATGTTATTTTTGTATTTAACTTTGTAGGCCAACATCCAGTCAATCATGGCCTCTGAAAAACAAGTGAACATCCTGATGAAGTTGCTCGATGAGGCTCTGAAGGAGGTAGATCAGATCGAATTAAAACTAAGCAGTTATGAGGAAATGCTCCAAAGTGTAAAAGAACAAATGGATCAGATCTCTGAAAGCAACCACCTAATTCATCTTAGTAACACTAATAATGTAAAACTCCTGTCTGAGATAGAGTTCCTTGTGGTAAGTTTGATTACAAATTACCAGCAAAAACAAACAAAAAAAAACTAATGGCAATATGTAAAATCTGTTTGTAAACATTTTCTAATTTCCTTATGAGAGCAGAATTTAAAATAATTCCAAAGACCAAGTGATGGAATAGAGTTGCATCTTACCTGTAAATTTCGCAAAATTACATATGCAAATGTCTGTAAAATTGCATATATTTCAGAACCACATGGACTTGGCCAAAGGTCATATAAAGGCCCTTCAGGAAGGAGATCTTGCTTCTTCTAGAGGCATTGAGGCCTGCACCAATGCTGCTGATGCCCTTTTGCAGTGCATGAATGTAGCTCTTCGACCAGGTATGATCATTGGAGATGATAATATCCAACCAGGAATCTGAGACTAAGCCTGTAAGTTGGTATAAATTTTGACAAATACATGTGACAAGTGGATTAGGGTTACATTTTTAGCTACTCAAACAAGTTTCACATATTTCCCAAAGTATTTCTATTGACACTAAGAACTCTTTTATTTCAGTTCCTCCTGATTGACCATCAGTGACTTGACCCCTATTTTGAACTGTCCACAGAACCAGAGAGCATAAGGTTTATTTAGGCTGTGGTTCTGAAACTTGAGTGTGTACCAGAATCACCTAGAAGGCTTGTTAAAGCACATATTGCCAGGCCTCATCCTCATATTGAGTAGGTCTGGGCTGAGGTACTAGAATCCACATTTCTAATAGTTCTCAGATAATAATACTGAGGCAGGACCACACTTTGAGAACTACTGTGCTATCCTGTTTTCCCTTCTGCTTACCTTTTATGAAGCAAATGAATAAACTGGTGAAACTTTGGGTTCTTCAAAACTTAAATATGGATACTGTTAGAAATACGCTCATTAAACATCAAGGAGATCTTTTTACCCATTAAATCAATCAAGAAATGTCATTCTGATTTTAGGCCATGACATGCTTTTGGCAGTCAAAGAGCAACAGCAGCGTTTCAGTGATTTGAGAGAGCATTTTGCTCGGAGACTGGCCAGTCACCTCAACAATGTTTTTGTTCAGCAGGTAATTTTATTTTATTAAAACTGCCATGTTCCTGTAGCTTATCTATATATTACCTTAAACTTAAATTCCCACAAAAAAATTTAATATGTTTAATTGGGGTTGCACTATATTCCTTCACACATTTATGTGATTTTAAGATTTTGGAATATGTGTATATTTGCTCATAGATGTACTTTGGACCTCAGCTGCCTCCTTAGGTGGATAGTCTAGTTCCTTCCAGCTGAAACTCTCTGGTTCTAGAAATCAAATGAATTACTGTTTATTAATTGCATGTACCATTAAGACATTCTTATAAAAGTAAGTCCAAATTGTTATATGTTTACTGTAGGACCTGTTTTATTTTTCAATATTTTGAGGTGAGAACCAGGACTTGATTCAATGTTTTAAATGTGTCATAGGCTTATATAAGCACGTACATAGAATACATGTGAGAAAATGACAGTAGCTCAACTATAAATTTCAGTTGATTTAATCTTCATATAAACGCTTTGCCTACATTTTTTATATGGAAAGGGATGTTATAACAAAGGATGTTGCAATAGGATTAAGATTAATAATATTGATATTAAAATGCCTTCTATTTTAATATCTGGCATAATAAATTGTTATGTTTTTCATCTCTTTATTCCTTTTATTAAAGTTATTGAGTGAAAAAAAATTGGGGGGAAATTTTGTTCTATCAAGAACTTGTGTCTAAAACATTGGATTCTTACTTTGTTTTCATTTTGCCTTATTCTGAAACAATTATATTTACTATATTTTATTTCCAATTAGTTTACTCAGGCCCTCCTTCAACTCTATAACAGGTCCTACTTTCTTTCGGTTCCTGTGAGTACATCAAATTTGGCTCAAGCTTCTCTGAATTCTGAAACAATTATATTTACTATATTTTATTTCCAATTAGTTTACTCAGGCCCTCCTTCAGCTCTATAACAGGTCCTACTTTCTTTCGGTTCCTGTGAGTACATCAAATTTGGCTCAAGCTTCTCTGATTTTTTTTTTTTTTTAAATAAAGTTTGCTAAACTTAACAACAGCAGAATCTTTATAGATTATAGCTTACTGATTTAAGCTACCCATTAACCATATTTGTAGCAGTTTTTTAATGTCCCATGGCAGAGTTTATTTTGGCCAAAAAGGCATTTAATCTCATTCTGCTTGCCTTTTCTTCTTGTCATTCTTTCCCTCATTCATTTACTCCTTCATTTATTTAGTAATGACTTATTTGCCTGGTTATTGAGATGCATACTAGACACTGACTTGGGAGAAATGAGAGGCTGATCCTGCTCTCAAGCACTTCACAGTCTAGGGAAGGGAAACAGGTATATGCAGGAACGGTAAATGTTGTGAGTGATATTGTAGAAGCATAAGGGAAGACCACCTGACTAAGCATGGGAGGGGGAAATGAGGGAAAACTCCGTCAACATTTCACTTGACCTGCAAAGTGTCGAGAAAGAGGTAAGCGGGCCAGCCCAGTGGTGCACTGGAGAGTGCACCGCTTGGGAGCGCGGCGGCACTCCCACCGAGGGTTCGGATCCCATGTGGAGACCGGTTCCCGCTCACTGGCTGAGCGCAGTGCGGGCGTAATACCGAGGGTTGCGATCCCGTTGCCGGTCCCCGGTACGGGCGCGACACCGAGGGTTGCGATCCCGTTACCGGTCAGTAAAAAAGACAAAAAGGAAAAAAAAAATGACTTCTTAGCTTAAAAAAATGGGAAGAACTTAATTTTGAACTTTTAAAAATAATATATTTACCTTTATAAGAAACTTACTCCTGTCATTTTATTTTTTCTTACTGCTGTAGGCCAGTGAAAACATGCTTGCATTTGGGAATCACTGACTCAGAGCATGCTGTCTATGATGCAGCTTTTAAATTAATACTTCTACATATCTGTACTTTAATGAAACTTGAAATGCATTTTTATGTAATGTACACTTCTTACTGTAATACAATATTAGAGTAATGTTTTTAATAGGTAGCTAGCTTCTTTTGGATCTTTTAACTCTTACAGACTCTGCTTCCACTGAAATTATAGACTCTGACCCATAATTTTTATATTTACTAGAGATTTGTGTATCTAAAAAGATATTCAGCTAGGAGAATCATACCAGTTAAACTAATTAGGATTATGATATTGGAAGCAGACAGTCAAATTAGGCTAATAAATTCAGGAAATATGTCCTTTTAAAAATTCTCCTGTTTTTTTTCTAAAAGATTTGTTTTTGCGAGGATAATTGCTCCCTGCCCTTTTTTTCCCTTTGGTTCTACAGAGAACTCATGATTCTGTATCTTTGCCTTTAGCAACATGAGACTGGTTATGCAAATAACCTATAGGGAAAATGAAAATGAACTAGCATGCTTTGAACTAAAGGTACAACCAGGAAAAAACTGAAGTTGTAAGATTTTTTGCTATTTATAAGTTTGGAAATTTATCTTTCAGCACATGTTTACAGAAATATCGTCTAGTAAAATAAAACCTATGCAGTAGACCACCAATATTCAAATCATTTTACAAAAGTTGTTTTCTTAAGCATGTGTCACATTTTTCTAAACACAGATTGATCTCTGGTTAAAAGCTTAGAAAGAATTATGATTAAGATCCATTTTTGTGATGTTTGTTGGAACTTTGCTCAGATTTTTTTCCTTTAAGAAAACAAAAATGAATAGGCCATAACAGAAGGAAAAGGTTCCCAAATCTTGAAAATTTATTCAAAATTTGACCCAGAGGCATCATTTCTGTTAGAAAGTCAATATAGCAGAGTGCTCAAGAGTGTAGATGCTGTAGCCAAATTTCCTGGGTTTGAAATCCTCCTAGCTGGTTGACCTTGAACAAGTTGATTAACCTCTTCATGCCACCTTAGTTGCTTTATCTAAATAATGGAGGTAATGAAAATATCTGCTTTGTCGGGTTGTTATGAGGATTAATGTGTTTATATATGTTCAGCACTTAGAATAGTGCTTGACTATAGCAAAGCATTCAATGTCAGCTAATTTTATTACAAATTCTAGTAAAATATATACTACTGAAAATTTATATCTCATCAAGTTTTTATAAGATGTATTTCTCAGATTAATTTGGAAAAAATATATTTTTAAATTATGCTAACAATAGAGTTTTGACATTTTTTAAATGAGGAGAAAAGTACTTTGTAAGGTTATTATGAAAATTTGAATTTATATGTATAAAGTATCTAGCAAGGTATAGGACAGTCAATAAATTGTTATTATTACTAATTTATTATTTTTTATAATAAATTTTAAACAATGTCTTTATTGTTAAAATATATAAAGAATAAAATTCTTTACACATTTAGAGTTACTAGATATGATAGTTTCTGTACTACTGACTGAATTAAACAATTTAAATATTTAATTTTCCTATTTTTATTTTGGAACCATTTTCTCTAAAAATTAATCTTTTTGTTAACACTAATAACATTTAATCTACCTCAGTAGTAATGGTTTGAAGGTAATGATGTTATTTATATTAGAAGTGCATTTTTCAGGAGATAGTGATGTTAAAATGCTGTTTTCAAAAGAAAGCTTTGAAAAGTGGTATATGTGAAAGAGCTTTGTAAACTGTAAAATTCTCTACAGATGTTCATAATTAATTCTTCCATTTTCAGAAGAGGAGAAGGTTTTTAATGATCGAAGAGCTTTACTGACACTGAAGTAAATAATATACTTAACATGTAATAGTGTGAGTAAATAGTTGTAGAAGAAGATAATCAATAACTTTGATTCGATTCATTGAGAAAAATTAATGAGGAGGATTATTTTGGATAATGAAAAGAGATCTAACATTGTTATTAATAAAAGACTATTTGTGAAACGTAAGATATAATATCTATCAAATATTCTTCCCCTTTAATCAGTGTAACTAAATACACACAATTTGGAGACATTAGTATTCTTAAAACTATATCTATGTATGTCTAATACATGCGCTCCTGTAGAATCCTGATCATCCTTCTGAAGTGGCAATTAAAAAACATTTCTGTATTGTAGTGTTTACAATTGAACTTTGTCAATGACGGAGATAGAGAATAGTCACGTGGTAATACCTATGTATTTTATTTAATATTATTAATTTTGTTCATGTTTATTATTAGCCTTTACTTCACAGAAAAGATATGGGTGCCCAGACATTCTAAGATATGTAGAATTGTTCCGTTTTCAAACACTGTAGCTCTTAGTCCTTACAATTCTGTTGGAAAATGTGATTGTTTTATATTCAGGGAGCATTCCAGAAAAAAATGTCCACATATCTCCCTTATCCAAAATTCTTGGAGTCAGTTGTGTTTTTAGAATTTTGCAGATTTTAGAAAAATACTACAGTCCATAGACTGTATATTATATAATGGCTCCTGTCAAGCATGTTTCTGCAGTAAGAAATATGAATAGTCATTCTAAACACTATAAATAGCCCCATGTCAGTGCACGTCAAGTTTCACCATCAAAATAGTTTTGGCACCCAGCTTAAACTGAGTTTCCAGAGCTTTTTGGATTTTAGAATTATGGGAAGGGATTGTGGACCTGTATACACAATATATCTTGTATATAACATGTATGATAGCTGGGAACTTCTGTTGCCTCTCTGTTCTGGTTCTCGTTATTTTGAATTTGTTGGTCCAGTTTTGTGAAACTTTTCTGCCTTTTCTAGTTTGGTTTCACAAGTTAACCTAAGTAGTAAGATGAATCTTAGAAGTATATTGGTTGAGGGCCAAGCCTGTGGCACACTCGGGAGAGTGCGGTGCTGGGAGCGCAGCAGCGCTCCCACCATGGGTTCGGATCCTATATAGCAATGACCAGTGCGCTCACTGGCTGAGTGCGGGGCCGCCAGTCTCAAAAAGGACAAAAAAAAAGAAGTATATTGGTTGTTTTGCACAGTTTTATATGTAATTTCTATATAATGGGTGCTTATTTTTCTTTTTATTTCCATTTTAAATTGGGGGTATAACCTCACATGAAGGGAATTTTTCAGCAAACTGATTTAAAAACTTTAATGAAGAGGGGATAATGATGGAGATTTTAGTATTTAGTATTTCTTATACTGTACTGTACCTTTATCTTTCTTACTCTGAGGTATTTCTCAATTACTAGGGAACTCTTTATTCCTCTAGGCCAGGAATTTTTCATTCTGGATGCTCTGTGTTTAAAAGAAATTTTTTTAAAAACTCACAACCAGGGCCGGCCGGGTGGCGCACTGCTACAGTGCGCCGCTCGGGAGCACGGCGGCGCTCCTGCCGAGGGTTCGGATCTCAAATACAGACCGGTTCCCGCTCACCGGCTGAGCGAGGT